TCCTTCTGGAGGAGCCATCAGGAGGCGTTAGATCCATAAACAGGGCATGACAGAGGAGAGTAGCCCCCTAAGAAAGTATTGGCCCAAAGCAATATAAAGGCTGTTATGCTGTACCTGTATATTATATCTGCTTTGCTGCTTAGAACCCAACCTTGACACAATTTAAATGTGCTTTTCTGCTTAATTTGAAGGCAAATGCCAGTTCTGCCCATCACTATATTCCGCAGTATTTTTCCCTTGCTGCAGAGACGTGAGTAACCAAGAAGTGAACGCTAAAGTGGAGTAAAGACTGAGTCCTGTCTGGTCTCCATCCTGCCCTTGCTGTACTCTATAAAATGAGGCAATCAAGGCAACACCGTGCCCCAGGCAACGTATTGTGTCCAGGGCGGTGTAACGAGTCGAATACTTGGGAGATAGGCAAGAATCATGGTCAAGTACAAGCCTGTCAAATACCGCCTGCTGTGGGTAAGATCAAGGATGGCTGTTTTTGGGTTTTATCACTGTGCAGTGTGAGTACGCACAGAAATGCAGCCTACTTGGATGGCAGGTTTTCCTGATGAGCAAATATTTTTGTGAGCCTGCCATCAGATTTAAGAAATAGTCCTGGACATGACCCTACCTGCAATACCACCTGAAACTCCTCCCGTGCCGCGTGATGTGCCTCTCCAAGCCAGGCTGCAGAGCCGTGCAAACGCTGTTTGCCCTCTTATGCTCTAAACATGACCTCTTATTCACCAGGTGATGGATTTGTTTTGGATTTTTTTATGGAAAGAAGCAACGTGTTGAAACTGGGCATTGTTCCTAATATCTATCTGGAGGAAAGCTTAAGATTGAGTCTTTTCTGTGTCATATTGTCGAGCATTTAGTAGTTCATCACAAACAGATTATGTGTTATAAAAGAGTTCCTGAAAGAGTTCTTAAAAGCTGGGCATACACCATTGGAAAATATGCCCTTCTTTTTGGGCAGGACTGCATCATACCTTTTTTCCTCTGAATATATTTGCATTAACAAGTTTATTTTTAATTTTCTTTGGTGAGTAAGTCCAGAAAGATAATGAAACATAGCCGATGGAAAATAACAAGCTTCTACAATTAATATTTCAGTCTATAATTTTATTCTACATAGGCTATTGGCTGGGGAGGTTAGGCTGTTGAAAGAAGTCCCATGGAAGAGCTGTCTCTGTGTAGACCTAGATAGTGGCTTTTTCTGAATTTGAGCTTCTTAAGCCCTTTATATTAGCAGTGGGTTCGTGAATGCTTTACATTTGCCATCTTCAGAAGCTGGATCTCCGTCCTCTGGTTGGCAGTAGGGGCAAGCCGGTACGGTGAGAAGCGAGGTCGCCAGCTCTGCTTTCCTTCCTCGTGGATTGTAATTACACCCTAGGCTAGAAGGATCACAGAATCCGTGTCGAAATATCGGAACAAACCATCAGTCAATGGGTGCCATTAGCTGCGGGTTGTATTTGGGTGCCCTGCAGGTACGTTTTGGGGAGGTTGTCCCTGCTGTGCTCCGTACCGGGCGACGCTCGACGTGCGTATCTCGTTCCGAGCGGTGCCGTGTCGGTGAACTTGGAGGTGTCCGGGCGTGGTTGCCCGGCGAGGGCGCGGGCGGCGCGGAGGCCTTGGCGGGTGGGTTTTACCAGAACATTCCAGTCGCTCAGCCAGGCCACGCAGTCACGCAGGGCGCTCGTTTTTGTTTGCTCGGGCCGTTTCGCTTACTGGCTGGTTGGGCTGCTGTGTGGGGATGAATCCATCACTGCCTGACCAAAAGGGCTGGTTTACATGCAGCAGTGGGCAAAACCGAGTTGACCAGAGGGCATGTTACCTATCTGGGCTTCTGTTACCTCCGTGCGGCTGAAAGGTGACGCTTGAAAATGAGCCACACGGTGACCCCCGAGCCAGAAGGTTGTGACTTCTGCCAAAGCGTTAATTCTTGAAGTAAAATAAAAGAGATGCTGGAGACTTCTTACAGTTCTGGTTAGCATGACCAACAGTGCTCACAGAGCCAGGCATACAGGAATAGCAAAGCAATAAGTGAACAGCATTACAGCTTTTTAGCAAGTAAACAAGTGCACATACTTGCCATATTCTTACCTGAAATGTTCAAGCACCACTAATGAGTTGAATATAAAATAGCAATGCTATTGGTAACTTAAAAGGGTTTTAATTGGCTAAATAAATGACATTAAGTATTTATCCCGGGTCCCATAGCTTAAGAGAAGGAAAGAAGAAGAGAAATTTTATTTACAGCTTTGATTCTGCTGGTATCTCCTAAATCAGAGGAGCTAACCTCAGGATGAGGCTTGCCTGTGCAAGAGCTGCAGAAAGCTATTGCCAGAGGTTATGTGATTAAAGAAGCATTTTTTAGGGTCTGAGTGAATCTGAGGTATTTTCATAACATTAACAGCTATAGCATGTGGGGTGTGCAAGGAATTTATGAGCAGTCCTCACTGACTGTGCCTGCCCTACCTCTCTGTCGTGGCATGGCCAGCATCCCTTTCGGCTAGCGCTGAATGGCAGGGTTTGGGGCTTTTGAACTACTCGCATATCTCCATGAGTGCTTTTAAGAAAAGCCTATTTTATAGCGTGCCGTGATGCCATCTTTAGACAAATGCACTGCGGGGACGGAGCTATCAGCTGCACGATCGCGTTTACCGCTTCACCGTAGGGCATAAACACGCGGCTTGGTGAGGAGCTTAAGCCTTCAAGCCCTCCAACAAACACTAAATTGCCAAGTATCCTTCCATAATGCTGTGATGTTGCCTGAAATCTGACCCCGTTGCTCACTGAAATGATGCTCAGAACCCGAGTGAGAAGGTTAAGTAGTACTGTCAAATTTCCAAATGTCTGTCACAGAAATACTTTCACTGCCTGTCTGTGGGCTGATCTCTAAAATGCTTCAAGTAATCCTCCTTTCTTCTTCATTATTACGTGATAATATCTAAAGCATAGGTTTTAGTGGAGATAAGGAAATTAACTTGTTTTTTTTTTCCCTTTTTTTCTGTGCCAACCCACCTTGCTGTTTTTGAATGTTTTTTCTCCCTTTTACTTGCCCTAGGAGGAATCCAATCAAATGAAGTTCCTGAAGTATGAACCAGACTTTTAGTTGTGTTTCTTTAATTTCTGCTCAAGATCATTCTAGCTACATGATTATTTTCACAGCTGTGTGTGAATGAGAAAAATACTGTAATTGGCAGGGTTTACAAGTTCAAAACTCAGTAAGCTAATGTGGAACTCTTCCACCCACAGAAGCCGAATTTATTGCTGTAGGAGTTGTAACTACTAAAAGAACTGGCTTTCCAATTATTTCACTTTTATGGGAAGCATTCAAACTAGAGAACGTCTGCAACAATCCAAATCCAGGGGACCTTTGAGCGGAGGGAGATGGTTCCTTCTTGGACGAGTGCTTGACTTCCATGTGGATCAATCTGGAAGGCTGCTGTTTACCTAGCTCATTACTGAATGTATAAGTCCAAACTGTGTTTATTTGAGCCCTTATGTAAAAGCTAGGACTTCATTTCCTGAATGCTGTTACTAGTTTTAGTTTTGTTTATTTTGGCTTTAGGTTGCATTATTTAATTAGCTTTTATTTGAGATATGACTCTTATGTTGCAGAAAAACAATATTAAATTATAATAAGCCTCAGTCTTTTAAAGTTTTCCTACTTCAGCCATAACTTTGAATTTATTTTGCTATTTTAAGGCAATGTTAGTGCCTTGTCTCTAAGGGTTATGGGAAGCTCAGAGGTTTATTTGACTTCTTCTCTTCTTGATTTCAGGGCTTTTTCCGCAGGAGTATCCAGAAAAACATGGTTTACACATGTCATAGAGATAAAAACTGTGTTATCAATAAAGTTACTCGAAATCGCTGCCAGTACTGCAGACTACAGAAGTGCTTTGAAGTGGGAATGTCCAAAGAATGTAAGTTGTCTTCAGAAACAATTTATTGTTTGTCATATCCCATGTATTTATGGCAGTCCCAAGGGAAAAGAAATATGATTGCTTGATATATATTACTTGATTATGTAATTGAAGCCAGGATCTGCATTCGTATGCACAAAAGGAATTTTACTTTTGCACGCAACCTCTTATCAATCATCAGACCTGTTCTTCACTGACTTCCGAGTCCCTAACTCGGCAGCTTAAATGCCATCGCTTAACACTTTGTAGCACGACATGATAGCTGATTAGCCCAGTTTTGACTTTGTGAGTAGGTACTCTTGCCACTTTTTTATTCTAGTTTATTTATTTATAATTATTTTAAGCGGTTGTTCATTAACCTGCTCAAATTTAAAAGAACACAGCCACAGCTACCTACTTTAAGACAGGATTATCACCTTATGAAAGGGCATCTTGGGCAAGGACACAAGGGGACAGCACTGCCTTGTTAACCCATCCTTTGGCCCCATGCTGTCTCCCTTGCTGGTCTGAGGGAGGAGAGAGGCTTCTCCATTAGTTCCTTTGTCAAACTGGTGACCCAGCCACTCAAAATATGGTATTTTAAAAAGCTGATGGAATGGCAGCCCGAAGTCTGATTAGTTGGAGCCTCTCTGGAAGGTGAAATTTTGCCTTAAACCTCCATAGTAAATCTGACTATAAGTATTACTAAATGTACAAAACTGATAAATATAATGGATTTTTTCTTCTGCCTACGTTTCCAGAAGTCTTCACATTACACTTTAAATTAACATGAACAAAAACAGAAAAATCACAAATTTCTCTCAGAGGAAGAGTGTTGGCGGGAAAGAGCTCCATGGACTTTAGGACCACTTTGCAGACTTTCCAGCCACTCCTCATGGAAATCAGAGATTGTGGTTAATGAATCCTAGCATACAAAATTTTACCGCTGATGTGAAATAATAATAATCCTCTTAAATTCTGGAGTGTTGCATCAGAGTAGGTTTTTGAAATTTTGAAATACCAGAAGTACTGCTAACATGTTAACCAAAGCTAGTTGGGGTAAAACATAAAAAAATACCACATTTTAGATTGCATCTTGTTCTCTTTCCTCTCATAGGGTAGCTGGGGCTTTGCCAGAATTGTCCCCTGTGAGAATGAAGCTCTGCATGTTTTTAGGGTGAAAAGGGAGTGAAACTGCCCTTTGGCAGTTGCCTTTACCTCAAACTGCTCTAGGCACCCAAAGGGGGTAACAGGTTGGAGAGGGGGTGAGGAGGTGCTGGGGAGAAGTGAAGGATGTCCTCTGGCTGCATTTCTGTACAAGACTTTGGCTGCGGAACGGAGAAGGTGTTTTAAATGTCATCGTTTTGAATGCAAAGTGTCTTGTCCTCTGGGTTTAACAACTAAAGCTGAGATAATTCTGTGTTGTCTCTTCATAAACAGGAACTTTTCAACTCTAAAAGGTTTGGAAAGCTCTTTTCTAATCTGGCTTTTTTACCTAAGTGTCTCCATGTTTCAAGTGTACCTCTTGAGAAGGTTATGTAAACTAAGGAACATTTGTTAGCGGGCTTTTTAGGAGATGATAGAGGGTGGTTTTCTAAATAAGTACCTTATTCACACTTGGCTTTTCTGTCTTCTTAAACTCTGTTACCTTGTAATATGAAAACTGTGAAGAAAGGACAGCAAGATGTATTGGAGGACTCTAACAGGAAAATAAGTCTACAGTGGCCAAACCAGTCCCAAATGACAAAGTTAATCAGGATGGACAACTGCAAATAGGAGCCTTGATGTTTGTTCCCAAGAGCTAAGCAGGAGTAAATATAGGATTTCAGTATCCAGAATAATCTGTGCTTAAATTCTACGGTCGTGTTTTTATTTGTGCTACAGTTAAAGGGCATGCATATATACTTAGATATGCAACTCCTTTTGAGCTTAATGAGAGTTGCACATAAACTTAAGATCAGAAATGAATGCCAAGCCAATGCAGTAAATACAATTTTAAGGACGGAGATGCAGCGCGTTGTAAGAGATTAAGAGATACTCAGCATTTCTTGTATGCTTTTATCTTGTCATAGCTGGTGAAGTGAGATGATGAAGGAATGCACCAAATTTGCATTTCTTTAGGGTTGTTTTGTTGGTGTAAGGAAACCGAGGTATCTCCTGCCCCATTGTGGTGCCCAGATCTGATAGGGAGAGGTCAGCAACCAGGCTGCCTCCAGGGCTGCAATGGAGCTGTTTGCACTGCGATAGGATCTTCGGGACGCGGCTGAAACGGGATCCCGCTGGCGCGGGAACCGGCTCCGGTTGCGTAGCTGCTCTTGCAGAAAGCCTGTGCTCCAAACGGATGAGGCGAGGGGAAGGGGCGGCCGCCTTATCGCCCAGCGACAGGGTGAAAACAGCTTCAAATAAAGCCTTGCTGTCTGATCCCTCTGTTCCTGAGGGATCCGAGCTTGCGTCCCGCAAGGCGCGCTGCAGATCGCAGCGTCGCACCCAGGGCCGGCCCCTTCTGTGCCCCGTGCACCTCGTTGGGTGCAGTGGCCCCAGCAGGTTCATATGTGGGGACATGAAAACTCATGTGGAGCTGTAGCCGCAGGTGAGGCTCTCATCCCAGTTCCACCACGTTTTTCTCCTTTCCAACCCTTCCCACCACTCCAGCCTGGAGTGGTGCCTGGCATGATCAAGGCAAAAGGCAGGAATAGGGACAAAACCCTGACGCACCACAGGTGTTTTCCAGCAGGATGCTAGAGCATGTCCTTGATAGGATGAAACCTACCCTTAAAAAAAGCCTAAACGCTGGATTTGTTGCAGGGTGCAAGGGCAGAGCTTCCTTTGGCCCCAGCTGCTCGGCAAAGCGCAGCCAGTCCCTCATTTCCACCCGCTTTTATAACACCCACGAAGGCTGCAGCCGGGCACGGCGCTCTGCCCGGCGCCTCTGCAGAAAAGCCCTCGCTGCTGCCCTGAGCCTCGTCTGCAGTGAGCCCGGGCAGGCAAAACTGTGCTGAGCAAGGCCCAGAGCTGCTGCTCCAGGTGGCTGGAGCCACACTGGGGTTTGCAGACCTGCTTACAGCCAGCCTTCCTGCAGAACGGAGGGCAGGGGCCTGCTGGGAAGGGGAGAGGAGTTCTCTGGGTTCTGGATTTTTGTGCTCTGCCTTTATATTTGCAGGTTTTGAACCTGCACTGAAACGTCTGTTACTTTTCCTCACAGACTTCAAAGTCTTACGGTATTTAAATGTTCATGCTTCTTGGGATGTAGGGTTAAATTCTGCTGCTGAACAGTAGGATGAATTAATTCACTTACTTTGTTTCTAGCTTAACTTGGCATCTAGGAAACATTTACTTAACATATTGTTATGTTTGTGCTTTTATATTATATTGTAATTTTATACTCTTTCAGTCTTCTTATTGAAGGGAGATCCCATCTCCAGTGAGTTGTTAACTAGAGGGCTAATCTCCATAGCTGCATTTGGGAAGGCTCATCCAGATCCACTAACAATGCGTTTTTTAAGTGAGTTAATTATAACCCATGAAATCTTTGTTGGGAGGCTTTTACTCAGCGTTTAAGTATGTTTAATTCTTTATAACCAACAGTTAAGTATTGAGTTAAGAATTGTTTTCCTTTGCTGTTGGCTAGATTTTAAACTAGATGCCTAGATTACATAGATTTGGCCAAAAATTTCAAGGTAGTCACCTTGTCCACTGACTTTTCTTGGTTCCTTGAGAGACATCATCTAAATATTGGAATGGAAATTGCAAAATCATGAAATTTGGCCTTGGAACTGACTCCTCTCACTAAAAGTTACAAGATCATTAGACTAGGTTGCCTATATTGACAATTGAAAATGATGACCCTCTTTACAGAAGCTGGGGAGCCTGTGGTGTGAAGGCAAAAAATTCCAGCCAAATGTGAGAATTCCAATGAAATTAAGAATTTCAGTAGGTAGACAGCGAGGAAACAGCAATCAAGATTCAGAGATTACAATTTTTAGTTTTATTCATTAAGGCCATCTCTTTTTCCAGTTCCTGACTGGATAGGAAGGACCATATTTATTTTTTAAGCCTGAGAAATTGGGAACTTTTAAAGTTAAGGCCAAACAGTGGTTGGGAGATATTTTAAGATGAGAGCAAAGCCAACAGAAAGGGTCTGTCTGCTACAAAAAAACGCAGCGGTCTGGGGTCAGTCTGTCCTTAGCCAGAGATAATGCACACTTTGTTATGCTGAGTGCCTGAAAATGATTTATATACAATTAAAATGCTGTTGTAAAGACTGAGTTCTGCTTGTTGCACCGTGTTTCCCATGGTTAAATAAACATCTTCTGCTTTTGCTGTGGTTGGAGGCTTTAAAGAGCAGATTTTCCCCCTGCTTTGGAGATCTGCCTCTTCTGTCTTGCAGCCTTTCCTCCCGGTTTTGCATGGCTTTCACTTGCCAGCGTTAATGTTTAAAGGAGCAACTTAGATTGAATGTTATTATTCATAATTTACTCTATGTTCTGTGAAGATGGTTATGTAATAGCAGTAATTGCATCAACTCACCTAATGAGCTTTCCCTCCAGTGCCATGTACAGCAGATTAATAGCCCATGAATTCATTTGCAGCTCGTTGTGTTTCAGAAAACTATTTCAGGCAGCAATTAATAAACTGCTAAAGAAAATAACATAATAAAAAAAATCATTTTTTATGTTAACTCTCCAGCTGAACAATTTATTGGCACCTTTCATGGTGCGGCTAAGGAAATCCTCTCCTAACTCCTCAAGCAGCGCATGGTTTGTCAGCCTTGCTCGAGTCACAGCCATTTGGTAATTAGGCCGATCCAAAGATCCTAAAATGTGGGGGAGAGGCATGGACCGTGTCCTGAGGGTCTGTGCTGCTTCTGCCCACGGCCTTTCAGGTGGGAAGAAATGTCTGTAATACCTGATATCTGTAATATCATCTGTAATACCTGGTATCTGTAATATCTGTATCTTGATCCAAGGAAAGTTATCTTTTCTGTTTTCTTCTTTAACACAAAAGAAGCACTAGGCTTTGTC